TGATCATTTTTGTGCATATCGATTATAATTGTTAATTAGTCGATGTCCGCCATTTTGAATTGTGAAATTCTAGCCCCGGATTCGTAATTAGTGACCTCAGAACCCCTTAAATCCATTTTACCATCTTTTCAAACGCAGATTCTATACGAATTCTAGCTAAAACTCACATCTAAGGGGTAGTTTTCACCCTTTAGAGTGCACCTTTACCGATATAAAAAATATATATCGATTATTTGTCATAGTTCTACAAGTGTGCAAAATCCCATCAAAATCGGTGAGTTCCGACAGACAGTTCCGTAAGTTTACTTGTGAGATATGTCATGATACCGCACCTGACCTAGCAACTTTGACATCGCCTATCTTCGAAATGAAAAGTAGGCTCAATGTAAAAATTTTCTGTGATCAATGGGTTTGTTCGTTTTAGCTACACTGGGGCTGCTCTGGGTCTGCTCTACACAGGATAATACAGGACAGATAAATAGTTTGTCCTGTATTATCTTGTTTAGAGCAGACCCAGAGCTGCCCCAGTGCAGCTAAAACGAACAAGCTTAGTGTCTCATCATGAACTATCATTTAGCGTACTATTTGGTTCCAAATTCGAGGGCCGCAAATCGGGCGAAATTTCACCTCTTTTTGGGGTCACTCTTTGTTAGACCGAATTTATTATTATTACTTTTTTATAACACTTTCTGATCTGAAAGGTTATGTAAAAATGTCAAATCGTAAGTGCGCGCCGTGCGGCTTCTCAGCGCCATCAGCGCAACGTCAGAAATCGGAAACTGGACATTTTAGCTGGACATCCTAGGAAAATGACAATTATTTCAACATTTCGACTTTGGATTATTATAACTTTTTTTCTACAGCACCTACAGTAAAAACAAGCATACTTTTCTTATGTAATTTGGGTATCCGCTATCGATTGAGCCTATTATCAACTCAATCGGCCCAGCCGTTATTGAGATCCGATAATCTCGGCTCGTCTCAACTTTCGGGTTTGCGTAAAGAGACACGGTCGGTTTTGCGCTTGCGTTGCGCGCTGCGCGTGAACTTGGCGCGAGACACTACCGTGTCTCTTGATGTTAATACATGTTTGACATCCAATGAAAAAGATAGAATAGAAATATATATTTGCGTTAATTTGTACCGTTAAATGAAATGTACTCGAAGGCAGGGCAAAATATGGAAGCTGATAAATCGTAAATTTTTTTAGAAATATTCCGTTAAATAGAATACAGAAAAATGTACCTTATTACAACACATACTCGCATACATAACATTTAAAAATTCTATACAAAATATATAATAATTACAAATATTGAATTTATTACATTTCATATATAATAAATGTAAAAACCGCTTATGAAATATAAATTGTAATTATAACATTATTGGCAAAAATAATTTTCATAATAATTATTATTATAACGCTTGCAGCTATACAGCTATCGAACATTATTACATCAGATTCCGTAATCTTAAAAATCCCGGCTAATAATTTTTTTTTTTTTAAATAATTTTCTAAAAAATGTTTTAAAAATATGAATAAATAAGAAATTTTTTCTTAGAATTTTTCATAAAATAAAATTATAAAAAATTCTTAAAATTTTCTAGGAAATTATGAGATGTTTTTTCACCAGGGATGATAAGAGACATTACAGCAATGTTACAATAATGACGTTAATAAAACGTGTATTGTAAAACATTCCATAAACGTTTCACTTGGAATGTTTTTTGTAATGTTCAAAGACATGTTCTCTGCGTTTGCCTCTCTATAGTTTGCCGGTTGTTCCTCGCTCTGCATATGAGCAGGCTATTATAGATTATTTTGGTGCTTGTTAGGCTACACTGGTTTTATAATAAATATGGAAGCAATGACTGTTGATGACGTTCGAGATTCGTGTCATGTAAATACATATTATATATATATTGATTATTTTAACAACATAAAATGCCATAACTTTACAGATCATAACCTCAAAAACCATGTACGTTACGTTAATGCCCGATTCCACCAACGTAGATTAACTTTAATCTCGGTTCA